ATGTCTTAATATTTGTTGACTGACTTAGTCAAGCAAGCAAGTCATCTGACAAGATGAGTTCAAAGGGAATGCTTTCTCATTGGTGCCATTGTGGCAGGATTGTTTTTATTTCCCATTTTCCTGGGGTCTAATACATACCGAGACTCAAGTAACAGAAGGAGACAATGAAATGCTTGTGTCATCATAGTCTGTCCAATATATGTTAAGGGGACCATTCTGGGGATGCAAAATTTCTAATCCTCTGGTAGATATTCTTTCTGCAGTATTCACCTTCAACACACACATTCTACCCCTGCTACTCCATGAAAATAGAATGATTGCAACTGAGAAAAAAGGGTAGAGAAGAAAGGTATGGGAGGGAAATTGAGAGGCTAAAGGAGGCCAAGGGACATGGAAGAAGAGAAGAAATAAAAAACCTAACGGAGAAGAGTCTATTCCTCAACAGGTTTTGTTCTATGAATTTCATCATTATCTACAACTTGTAAAAGCTACAATCTTAAAGTCATGTAGAATCCTTCCTTAAATGTCCTCCTTTCCTTTCTTAACTTTCATGAAAAGCTATCAGTTATAATCTATCTGTTCTACCTCTGAAATATCCTCTCTATCTCACTCAATTAAACTTAATTACCATCTGTTATGCCCTAAGGGTCACTCACACCAGAATTTGTGAAGGCCTTTTAACTGATGTTTTAGCTTTAGTTTCACTAATTTCCATTCAGTCATCCATACTGCAGCAAGGGCATTCTTTCAAAAGCATACATTTTGCTATGTTCTTTCTCTACTTGAAGCATATCCACAACTAAAGCCTCATTTCTTAGTGTGGGCAATTAGGGCAATATTACCTCAGCTTCTCTCTAGCATCTAAATTGAGGGGTACTATTGATTTCCTTAACATTGATGCTCTTGTGTGCTTTTTGCCTTTGCCAGGCTGTTCTTTTGATATGAATGTCCTTTCACCTTTTAAAGGTGGGCTTATCTTCTAAGCATTATCTACTTTATGAATCCTTCCCTAATAGTCCACTCTGAGCAGAAGCAATGACTCCACCCTCACTCCACCCCCCTCACCACCATGGGTGCATTTACAGGGTTAGACTGTGAACAATCAAGTAGCTTTCAATTTATTTTTTTTTAATTTATTTCTCCTTCTTCCTTCTCTTCCTTTATTAGTTCATGCCTTTCCTGCTTTGACCTCCATAATAACGGAGGGACAGTTTTTCCCTATAAGTCCCTCTGTTCTCATATATTATTGTCAAAGAAATGAAACTACTACACTTTGTTTAAAGCAGGTTGCCATTCTGGGCCTAGTGCCATTTCTAAGGTACTGATAGCAGCATGTTTTATTGTCACATCTGTACTAGGACATGCTAGGATTTTTAGGGCTAGTATTCAGGATTGCCTGCTCAAAGTACTCAGCTTAAGTTAAGAGATCTACCAAAAAATTCCTTTTCTTTCTTAGGGGTGGAAAATATTTTCTATCCACTACCCTTTCCCTAAACAGACCTAGTCTAGTCTTTACATTGTCAAACTCTTGGGTATATTGGGCAGAACATTGGTTTTATTGTCCTACAAACATAGAGAATTACAACCACCTGAAAAGCAAAGATAAGAATAAATATACAGGTGATTCTCTGCTTAGGAGTAGGGAAACTCCAAGCATATATACTAAAGATAGAAAGCACTGATAAAAATGAGAGGATAGGGCCTTGTGATAGTCTTCACTTAATAGTCTTAGAATAATTTTTAAATTAGGAAATGAGAAGAATTCTTAGGAGACTATTTCCCTTTCTTCTTGGTGACAATAGTTTAAAGATCTACAACACCAGTTGGGAACCCTAGATACCCATAGGCAGAAGAAGATGCTTTGTTTCCAAGGCTGAATCACAGAAGACCATAGCCATCTATAGAAGAAGATCTCTAGACGAGATGTTGAAAATTCGTAGCTTGCAAATGTCATTTGTTTGATCCATATATAGTGGTTATAACTTTTTTAAAAAATGTTAGTGTTTATTTATTTTTGAGGGAGAGAGAGACAGAGACAGAGTGTAAGCAGAGGAGGAGCAGAAAGAGGGGGAGACACAGAATCTGAAGAAGGCTATGGGCTCTGATCTGTGAGCACGGAGCACAAGGAGGGACTTGAACTCATGGAGCGTGAGATCATGACCTGAGCTGAAGTCGGATGCCTAACCGACTGAGCTGCCCAGGCACCCCATAACTTTTAAAGTTACTTGCAAAGATTTGAAATTCAAGAGATGTCACATAAAACCCAAGATTTGCTTATTATTTTATGAAATCAGAAGATATGACATTGGTCACAAATTCTCATGTGGCCACAATCAGCTGAGTAGTGGTTGCACTTGCAATTGGACATATTCTTGCCATTCACCCGAATCTCCATCATTTTCTACCCTCTTCCTGAAAAAAGAGTCCAATGTTAGTTGCCATTCATCAACTCACTTGCACTTTTACATATAGAATTAAGAACTCCTAGTAGAATGAAAAGGAAAGTGACATAGTTCTTATACCTGTAGCTATCAAAACATAAGGAAAAAAATACTGAGAGGACTGTTTCAAAACATATAGGTGTGTTTGCATTTCCTTATAGAAATGAGGAATATTTTGGGGTGCCTGGGTGGTTCAGTTGATTAAGCGTCCAACTCTTGATTTTAGCTGAGGTCATCATGATCTCACAGTGGTGAGATTGAGCCCTGCATCAGGCTCCATGCTGACCATGGAGATGGAGACTGCTTAAGATTCTCTGTCTCTCTCTCTGTCTCTCTGTCTCTCTCTCTCTCCTTCCCTCTCTCCCGCCTTCCCTCCCTCTCTTTGCCCCCCCACTAGCTCTCCCACTCTCAAAAAGTAAAAAAAAAGGAAATGAATATTTCTACACCTTTACTATGCATACAAAGTATGCCTTTGTTGAAGAAATAAAACTTCAGATATTCATCATGCAATTTGGTATAAAGAACTATAACTGATATATAAAAAAGATGTACAGTGGAAATCTTAACCTTAAAACATAAACTGAAAGTTCAACAACTTTTCTGTTATAATGCATACACTGAGTGTTGCTGCTGGGAAATGCAATTATGTATTGAGCAACAGACATTCCCAGGTACCAAAATATTTTTAAAATTTTGTTTTTAATGTTTATTTATTTTTGAGAGAGAGACACACAAAGAGTGTGAGCAGGGGAGGGTCAGAGAGAGAGGGAGACAAAGACTCCAAAGCAGGTTCCACGCTCCGAGCTGTAATCACAGAGCGTGACATGGGGCTCAAACCCACAAACCATGAAATCACAACCTGAGCTGAAGTTGGCCGCTTAGTCGACTGAGCCACACAGGTACCCCCCAAAATATTTTATAGATGCCAAATTTATAAAAATGTCTATTGCAGAAGAATTATATGTTGAACTAGAAGTATTTTTGTCTGTGTTGAATAAATGACTGAGGCCATATACAGAGCATATTATGTGGAAAGTTGTATTTCTTGTGGCATTTTCTTTTGTAGCTTATGAGAGCACAGATACAAAAATTACTATAGAATTATGTGTATTTTTCATGATTTCAATGAGAATTTTTATGTGAATGAAGAAATTTTTGGCTGTTTCCCATTACAAGCAAATCAGAAAATGGTTTACTTGGGTATATTGAAAAAAGTCCTAAATATAATATAAGTGGACCATAATTAGTATATGTTAGTGTTAATGTCAGACTTATGAAATGTATATCCAATGTTGCAAAGTTTTATAGAGACAAATTTATGATTGTTCATTGTTAGATTCACTAGGAATTATCTGTTTTGTGATAAAAGGCTTAAATAAAGCATATTACAGAGACAGCAGCTGCCATCAGGAGCTGGAGAGCTCCCAGTGACTTGAACAAGTTGGGAGAAATAGATGAAGAGTATGCTTCAGCTTCTCTTTATGAGCCTACGTGCCTAAGTTAGGGCAAGATGCTTACCCCAGAACTTAAACCCACTGTACAAAGACTAAATCTGTGTCTGGAAAGAAAGCAACTCTTTTCCTTTAAGATACTGACTTAAACTAAATAACCTCACTCCTTATTCTCTAACCATTTCTCTTGGCCACACCTCTGTTAAAACTAATCCATACTAAACTCCATACTCAACATGGGAATTCCAAATATAATATCTGACATTAACATCTTGGTACAGAAGAAAAGGAGGCAAGTTTCTGTTTTGCAAATCAAAGTGGTAATATTTTTTAAAAGAAAATTGTAATAGAGCACCTGGGTGGTTAAGTCAGTTAAGCATCCAACTTTGGCTCAGGTCATGATCTCACGGTTCATGGGTTGGAGTCCCACATCAAGCTCTGTGCTGACAGCTCAGAGTCTGGAGCCTGCTTCGGATTCTGTGTGTCTCTCTGCCCTTCCCCTGCTCATGCTCTGTCTCTTTCTCAAAAATAAGTAAACATTAAAAAATAATAAAGAAAATTTTGATAATTATTGCTATTTTAATTTGGAAGTTTTAATGTATTTAATTTAAAATATTCCTACTATGATTTTTTACCTTATCTCATATGCTTACCCCATAATCATTTTTAAAAATTTTATTATATTTCTGACAGGATTTTTAAAAAAATACAAATAGCCTGACTTACTTAGTTAAGATACACCTGTAGCTCCTGCAGGCATTTGAATTTGTGACATCTGCATTAGATATATTTTAGGTATTCCTCCCCTTGCCTCTACTGTCTATCCTTCAAGAGAAGGAAAAGTTTAACAGTTTATTAACAGCCCAGAAGACCGAGTTATTGAAAGAAGAGACCACTTAGTGTTCATTTCTGTGTACCCAGAATAAACTATAGAAGTCATTCAGTGAATGTTTTCTAGATGGATGGATAAATGTGCTTTAGCTGAAGCAGAACGTATACCCAGAACTTTTTTAAGATGAAAGTTGTATTTCAGTCTCATGTAAGTTTAGTATTAAAGATAATTATTTTGCTTTTCCTTCAACTTCTTCTTGACCCTTTTCTGCCTTAGATGCCTATACAACAGCTGAAGTGGTTTATTCTTGGACTCTTGGGAAGAACAAATCTGTGGAAGTGGCACAGGATGGCTCTCGTCTGAATCAGTATGACCTGCTGGGCCATGTTGTTGGGACAGAGATAATCCGGTCTAGTACAGGTATTTATTTATTTTATTTAATAAGCATTTTTGTAATGTGTATCACATACCAGTCATTTTTCTAAGTGCTTATAATAACGTGAAATCCTCAAAACAGTCTTGTGATGTAGGTACTGTTATCATAAGGAAACTGAGGCATAAAAATATTCAGTAATTTGCCCCATGTTACATTATGTAATAGAGCCAAGATCTGAATTCAGGTAGATTGGCTCCAAGAAAATGTTTTTAACTGTGATGCCCTGCTGTCCTTTGGTAAGTGGGTTAGAAAGTCAAGGACATTAGGGCCAGACTGTGGTAGAAGAGAAGATGAAGGGAAGCCATGATGGTGGGAGAACTGAACTTCGATCCTAAAGGTTTCATGAAGACATTAGCTCAACTCTGTCAATGCTGCGGTGACAAATTAATAACCTAGGAGAGTCCAGGTACACAGCCAAGAAGTCCAAGGATGAGCCATGAAATTATATTTTTAAGTAAGTCACCCATCTCAAAAACCAGTCTGTCTAGCAAACCTTGCTAGGTCCTCTTAATAGCTAAAACCTTGGATATTGATAAATGGAACCCAGAGATTTGTTTTGTAGACCTGAATCCTATTTGGAAACTGATCTAAGGAAGGAGGCACCCTGAATCTGAACTAACCTTAGGGTATTTGGCATAATGGAGTATATCTTGGGGGCTCACATAGCTAATAATATTTTTTGCTGGTGAAAAAAATATCGGATCTTGGTGAAAGATCTGACTCCACAATTATAAATGGATTAGGGTGGGGCGCCTGGGTGGCTTAGTCGGTTAAGCGTCCGACTTTCACTTAGGTCATGATCTCGTGGTTCGTGGGTTCGAGCCCCACATCGGGCTCTGTGCTGACTGCCAGCTCAGAGCCTGGAGCCTATTTCAGAGTCTGTGTCTCCCTCTCTCTCTGACCCTCCCCTGCTCACGCTGTCTCTCTCTCTCTCCTAGAAATAGATAAAAAATTTTAAAAAATGGATTAGGGTACTCTTATCCTTTTATTTCATCATCTGGTCACTGTTCCCTCTCCTTGCCTGTGCCCTGTTTTCCCTCAATCCCAGGACCAGGGAAAGGTATCTAAATAAAGAAGCATTTGAAATAGCTTTCTTGTTTTATTTTCTTTTTTAAAAAATATAATTTATTGTCAAAATGGTTTCTATACAACACCCAGTGCTCATCCCAACAAGTGCCCTCCTCCATGCCCATCACCCACTTTCCCCTCTCCTCCACCCCCAATCAACTCTCAGTGTGTTCTCAGTATTTAAGAGTCTCTCATGGTTTGCCTCCCTCCCTCTCTGTAACTATTTTTCCCCCTCCCCTCCCCAATGATCTTCTGCTAGGTCTTCTGTTAAAATCCAAATATGAAAGCATTTATTTGTCCTTCTCTGACTGACTTATTTCATTTAGCATAATACCCTCCAGTTCCATCCACATTGCTACAAATAGCCCGATTTCACTCTTTCTCATTGCCAAGTAGTACCCCATTGTATATATAAACCACATCTTCTTGATCCATTCATCAGTTGATGGACATTTAGGCTCTTTCCATGTTTTGGCTATTCTTGAAAGTGCTGCTATGAACATTGGGGTCCATGTGCCCCTCTGCATCAGCACTCCTGTATCCCTTGGGTGAATTCCTAGCAGTGCTATTGCTAGGTCATAGGGGAGTTCTATTGTTAATTTATTGAAGGAACTTCCACACTGTTTTCCAGAGGGGCTGCACCAGTTTGCATTCCTACCAACAGTTTAAGAGGATTCCCGTTCTCCACATCCTCGCCAGCATCTTATAGTCTCCTGATATGTACATTTTAGCCACTCTGACCAGTGTGAGGTGGTATCTCAGTGTGGTTTTGATTTCTATTTCCCTGATAATGAGTGACGTTGAACATTGTTTCATGTATCTGTTAGCCATCTGGACGTCTTCTTTGGAAAAGTGTCTATTCATGTCTTCTGCCCATTTATTCACTGGATTATTTGTTTTTGGTTTTGTTTTTTGTTTTTTGTTTTTTTTGGCCGTGGAGTTTGGTGAGTTCCTTATAGATTTTAGATACTAGCCCTTTATCCAATATGTCATTTGCAAATACCTTTTCCCATCCCATTGGTTACCTATGTCACATTTAGGTCTTTCATCCATTTTGAGTTTATTTTTGTGTATGGTGTAACAAAGTGGTCTAGTTTCATTCTTCTGCATGTTACTGTCCAGTTCTCCCAGCACCATCTGTTAAAGAGTCTGTCTTTTTTCCATTGGATACTCTTTCCTGCTTTGCAAAGATTAGTTGGCCATACAATTGTAGGTCCAATTCTGTGTTCTCTATTCTATTGCATTGGTCTGTGTCTGTTTTTGTGTCAATACCATACTGTCTTGATGATGACAGCTTTGTAGTAGAGACTAAAGTCCGGGATTGTGATGCCTCTCCTCTTTTGGTTTTCTTCTTCAATATTACTTTGGCTATTCAGGGTCTTTTGTGATTCCATACACATTTTAGGTTTGTTTGTTCTAGCTTGGAGAAGAATGCTGGTGCAATTTTGATTGGGATTACATTGAAAGTGTAGATTGCTTTGGGTAGTATTGATATTTTAACAATATTTATTCTTCTAATCCATGAGCATGGAATGTTTTTCCATTTCTTTGTGTCTTCTTCAATTTTCTTCATAGGTTTTCTATAGTTTTCAGTATACAGATCTTTTACACCTTTGGTTAGGTTTATTCCTAAGTATTTTATGCTTTTTTGTGCAATTGTGAATGGGATAAGTTTCCTGATTTCTCTTTCTGTTGCTTCATTATTGGTATATAAAAATGCAACTGATTTCTGTACGCTGATTTTTTACCCTGTGACGTTCCTGAATTTACGGATCAGTTCTATCAGACTTTTGATGGAGTCTGTCAGGTTTTCCCTGTAGAGTATTATGTCATCTGCAAAAAGTGAAAGTTTGACTTCATCTTTCCAATTCCGATGCCTTTTATTTCCTTCTGTTGTCTGATGGCTGATGCTAGGACTTCCAGCACTATGTTAAACAACAGTGGTGAGAGTCGACTTCCCTGTTGTGTTCCTGATCTCAGGGGGAAAGCTCTCAGTTTTTCCCCATTGAAGGTGATATTTGCTATGGGCTTCTCATAAATGGCGTTTATGATGTTTAAGTAATTTCCTTCTATCCCAACTTTCTCGAGGGTTTTTATTAAAGAAGGATGCTATATTTTGTCAAATGCTGTTTCTGCATCTATCAACAGGTTCATATGGTTTTTATCTTTTCTTTTGTTGATCTGATGTATCACATTGATTGATTTGCGAACATTGAACCAGCCCTGTAACCTAGGAATGAATCCCCCTTGATCATGGTGGATAATTCTTTTTATATGCTGTTGGATTCGATTTGCCAGTATATTTTTGAGAATTTTTACATCCATATTCATCAGGGATATTGGCCTATAGTTCTCTTTTTTTGCTGTATCTCTGTCTGGTTTGGGAATCAAAGTGATTCCCTGGCTTCATAGAATGTGTCCGGAAGTTTTCCTCCCATTTCTATTTTTTGGAACAACTTGAGAAGAATAGGTAGTAGCTCTGGTTTAAATGTCTGGTCAAATTCCCCAGGGAAGCCATAGGTCCAGGACTCTTAATTGTTGGGAGACCTGTGATAACTGATTCACTCATTATGGGGTATTCAAACTTTCTATCTCTTCCTGTTTGAGTTTTGGTAGTGTGTGAGGTGTTTAGGAATTTGTTCATCTCTTCCAGATTATCCAGTTTGTTGGCATATCATTTTTCATAGTATTCCCTGATAGTTGCTTGTATTTCTGAGGGATTGGTTGTAACAAGTCCATTTTCATTCGTGATTTTATCTATTTGGGTCCTCTCTCTTTTCTTTTTGAGAAGCCTGGCTAGAGGTTTAGCAATTGGTTTCATTGATCTGTTCTATTGTTTTTGGTTTTTTTTTTGATTCTTGATTGTTTATTTCTGCCCTGATCTTTATTATTATTATTATTTTTTGATTCTTGATTGTTTATTTCTGCCCTGATTTTTATTATTTCTCTTCTGCTAGGTTTGGGGTATCTTTGCTGTTCTGCTTCTAGTTCCCTTAGGTGTGCTGTTAGTATTTGTATTTAAGATTTTTCTTGTTTTTTGAGATAGGCCTGGATTGCAATGTATTTTCCTCTTAGGACTGCCTTTGCTGCATCCAAAAGGGTTTGGATTGTTGTATTTTCATTTGTTTCCATATATTTTTTAAATTTCTTCTCTAATTGCCTGATTGGCCCATTCATTCTTTAGTAGGATGTTCTTTAACCTTCATACTCTTGGAGGTTTTCCAGACTTTTTCCTGTGGTTGATTTCAAGTTTCATAGCATTGTGATCTGAAAGTGTGAATGGTATGATCTCAATTCTTTTATATTTATTGAGGGCTGCTTTGTGAACCATTATATGATCTATCTTGAAGAATGTACCATGTAGACTTGAGAATAAAGTGTATTCCACTGCTCTGTGATGTAGAGTTCTAAATATATCTGTCAAGTCCATGTGGTCCAATGTATCATTCAGGGCCATTGTTTCTTTAGTGCTTCTCTGTCTAGTTGATCTATCCATTGCTGTAAGTGGAGCATTAAAGTCCCCTACAATTAGATCATTTTTTAAAACATTTATTTATCATTGAGAAACAGGAGAGACAGAGCACGAGCATGGGAGGGACAGAGAGAGGCGGAGACACAGAATCTGAAGCAGGCTCCAGGCTCTGAGCTGTAAGCACAGAGCCCAATGCAGGGCTCGAACCCACGAGTGGTAAGATCATGACCTGAGCCAAAGTCGGACGCTCAACCGACTGAGCCACACAGGTGCCCCTAGAACATTCTTATCAATAAGATTGCTTATGTTTGTGATTAATTGTTTTATATATTTGGGTTTTTCCAAATTTGGTACATAGGCATTTGTAATTTTTAGCTCTTCCTGATGGATAGACCCTATAATTATTATACAATGCCCTTTTCATCTATTGTTACAGCCTTTAAT